TTGTGGTAGGGACTAGTCGCCCCCGAGCGCACCTCTTTTGTTTTAAGACGAAAAGGCTGCCTGGGAGATTGTTTCAAGACTTGATGAGAGGCTGCTTTTTCCGGTACGTGTTCCCCGGGATATGTAGGGCAGCATTTGACCTCTCATGTGGAGTGTCGTGACGAAAACGCCTGGTTGGAGCATCCTCATGCTTCCCTTGGACTCGAGTCGGAGAGTCCGCACAGTTCGCCTCGAAATCGAACTGTCTCGCTGAGCGTTCTCACATTTCACCTTGACATCGAACTCTCGCATGAGGCGTCCTCACAAGTTGCTTTGAAACAGAGCTCTCGGTTGGAACCTCTACGGTACACATCTTGCTTTGGAATGGATTGCTCGCGAGGAACGGCCTCACATTATGCCCTCGCTTTGAGCTCTCTTATGGAGCGTCCGTCCTCACATTACGCTTCGGAGTCGAGCTCTCGCATGAAGCGCCCTCACATCTTGCTCCAGAAATCGAGGTCTCGCTGGTGAAGTCGAGCTTTCGTGTCGAATTTGCAGGCCGAGCCCCACCCACCCCAAAAAATACCTCAACGAAATTCATCCAGGAGCCATGCTGAGCAGCAAGTTTCAATGACAGAAGCTGCTGCTAGTGTGCTCCAGCCGTTTTTTTGCTTGAGTTAAATATGCTGTTTTGTTTTTTCGTGTGAGACGCGTTGATTTCATGCACGGGCGCTGCTTTTCAGGATGGGTTTGAAGTAGTCAGAAAGCGCTTTTTCCTTGATGCCTGCCTGGCACGCCTTCTCTTTTGATCAAATGGTGTGGTTCTCTTTGTTTTTTTGCGGTGTATAGCAGTATAGCAGGTTCCGTTTCAGTCATGAAGCTTCAGATCAAGAGCACAGACACATTGCTCGAATCACAAAGGGTCAGTTGCGGAAGCTGATAGGGAGACGCATCGTAGCCATTTGTTTTCTTCATTTGTGACCACCTTTTCCTGGAAAGCCGATGGAAGTGCGAACTGTTAAAGCTATTTCCAGAAATGCTTCGAAGACCATGAGGGGCAAACGCTTGGATTGTCAGATAGGTGGTGGAGGGAACCATCAGCCTGAACGGCACCATCACGCCGGAGATTGTGAGTCCCTGGCTGATCAATCTGCAGGTTGAGGTCTCAGGAGTACAGTTGAGTTGTTGCAGGCTTCCAGGAATATTTTTCACCATCCCGAATCACCCATGAGCCCCAACAAATGCCCCTTCGGAAATCTCAGTATCATACAGGCAGTTGAATGAAGAACTGAACAACCTTGGGCTAAGACGCACAAAGCCCATTTGCGTGTTGATTTGTATTTCTCTGATGTTGCGACTGGGAAAAGAGTTCTGTTCTTGCGAGCTCTTATTGCGGACCTGTTGGAGGCCAGTAGTCTAGCTGCGGTTGAGTGTGCAGAAGCCAAGGCAAGCTGAATTGGGCAGCTCAGAATGCGCTGGTAGAGGCATGCGGACACGGCTCGAAGGCGGGACGCCAGTTGACAGAGCCTTGTTTTGTCAGAGGCCATGCTTGGTACAGCTGTTTGCTTGCAGAAGTGAAGCTTGCAGAAGTGTGACGCCCAGGTATCTGGGAGAAAGTTCAGTTGACAGCATAACATCATATAACATCCATGTGTCTCTTGTGGAGTTGTGGAGGTGGACGCTAGCACCAAGTTGGAGCTTTCACCTCGCATCCATCGTGCCTCGAATTCTTCTCCAAAATGCTCGCATCGTCCAAGTGGTAGTGAGAGCGAGTGAGAGCGAGAAGCAAGGGCTGAGATGCGAACGACAAGAAAGTTCTAGACTGAGAAATTTCTCAGTAGACATGCAGAGTTTGCGTGTGAGAGGTTCCAATCTCAGTTGATGAGTTGAGCTGCAATATCCGTATGGTTTGGTGATGAAGCCGCAGGAGCGTCCATGTTGGTGGACTTTTATTTTGCATTGAGATTGGACAGTCACCAAGGTGCTGTGGACATCAAGTTTTGGGTCTTGCCGCGACTGGGCGGAGGCGAACAGCTGCAAGTCCATCATGTGTTTCACGATCACTATACATTTCGGATCGCTTCTCTGTCAAGCAATAGGTGACCTGAAGATGCAAGCAGGCAGAGAGACTCTAGGAGGTTTTTGCCACTCTTTGCCAGGCGGCGACTGCGCTATGACGCTTGTGGAGGCGGCAGCAGGTGGCTACGTTCCTCCATTTCCACTTTCCGGTCCAGACAGGAATCTCTGCCAGGTAAGGGTTCAGTCTCCTCCTCGCTGCAGTCCCTGCCGCATTGCGCTCTCCTGATTCCCACCTGTAGCTTCCATTGCATCACTTGAGTTGTGAACCACAGGTGACAACATCAATCCCCAAACCATTTCTACAGCCCTTGACAACGCTGAATGAAAGACACTGGGGAGTTAGCCTTGGCAGGGTGGATGCTTAGAGTGGACATTTATTTCTGAGCCGGATTGGTGTGACAAGGTTTGCATAGGTGGACAGCAATGGTATACTGTTGGGGTTGCTTGTGGAGGCCATATTATAAGGGAGTAACGCAGAACCGGCGTGAACTTGCAAATGCAGGGGGCATCAAGGGGCACAAGCGTTTCTTGCCACACACCAGTTGCTGCAAATTAAAACCATCTCTGTTGTTACTCCTCTCTCTGGCCAGCAGACCATCGAAGACTGGACTCATTCAGGGCTGCGGGGCTGCCGGGTGCAACCTGATCGCATCCTCTTCACACGGGCGCGTGTAGCCCGTAAAAGAATAAAGAAGTGAGGAAAGACAGGGTTTGCCCATGTGCGCAGCTCCCGCATCTTTGAGGCATGCAGCTTTCTTTGCATCAGCTTCTCTAAGTTGAGACTGTCCACTGTCACTCGCGGCTTCAACTCACCAAAACAACTGAATCTGAAACTGAAGAAGGAGGGTGGGGTAGGGCAGCCCGTGATACAGGTAGGGACCAAGCCTGGACTTCTCTGTCAATGAGAAATGAGAACAGAACATCTGAGGAAGCCCACGTTTCGGAACATGATGCAGAACCAGCTGTGCCCTGGCAAGAAAGACGTGTTGGTTTGCTTCCTCAGAGTGCCCATTCCTTCAAACAGTTGCCTGAAGCTGAGGAGTTTAATCATGGACACGGGCATCATGGCGGACATGTATCTTCGGCTGTGGCGCGTCACCTGTGCCGTGAAGCCAGTTTGGCGGAAGCTTGGCTCTTCTGTGATGTGGTAGGAGTCCTGTAAGTACCTGAACCCTCCAGACAGGAGCCGTGTCGTATCAGATTGCCCTGCTGGGCGCTTCAGTCTTACGGTCCGTTCCTCCATGACTAGGAGAGCTGTGTGATAGCCTTTCCTCAGTTTGCAGACGCGAGACCTTCTCTGGCAACTCGTCGATGTATTTCCCGAAGCCTTAAAGATCTAGTTCGTATTCGACAGCTCATGACAGGGCATGTAAGTCACAAAGGGGCTTGGTGTGTGTGCGTGCAGCTTCGGTGAGGCTTGGCAACCAACTGAGCGAGCGAAATTCGAACATGGCCTGTTCCAACTACGCTTCCGGATGGGAGGCTGGCAGTTTTGTGATCAACATCTTTATTCAGATCTCAAACTTCACTCGGCGCTTTAGCAGATCATTCAGGATTCTGCGTGCTTTTGAACAGCTTCAATCAGAAACGGAATCCACTTTTTTTGGTTTGTTGATTGTTTTTTAGGTTTTTTTTTTTTTTTTT